CACCCCACCCCACCCCTGGTGTCGGGTCGGAGCTCCTCACTAAGGTGCCCAGCACCGGGATCTCGGCCCACCTCCCCGGCCTAACAAATGCACACTGGGCTGGCCCCTGCTTTGCCAAGGGCACCAAGGTGTAGGTACCACCCACCCTGGCGACTTTCCAAGACCAAGGCTGCTCTGAACGTCCCCGGAATGGGGGAGTGCATGCCCTTCCCCAGAGACCAGTGGTACCCACCTTGGCTCTCAGGAACAGGGCAGTGATAATGACGCCATAGATGAAGAGGATCCCATCCAGCAGGTAGCAGAGTCTGGGATCCAGCAAGCCGAAGCTCTGGGCCTCTGCCAAGAGATGAGACTGGTCAGCCAGACCGTGGGTGACCGACATGTACTCACCACCCAGGGTGGCCCCATGATTGTACAAGGAAATCATGACAAGGGGGGGTTGGATCCACTCCCCATCCCCCGTCTCACCCCAACCTCCCCCCCCCCTTGGACCAGGTCCTGGGGAAACCTAGCCCACCCAATAGTGGGTGTGACACCTGGTGGGGCCACAGAGCCTGGACAGAAATGAGAAGCAGGTGAAGCTGTCTGTCCACTGCACTCAGGACAGCTGCCTCGGGGGCCGTGCCCAGCTGTGTGCGAGCCCCCTGGGAACCTTGCACTCTAGAAGCCTCTATATGCCCATGTCTGGGTGAATAGCACCATCTGAATTCGGGTGTGTGGCTCCCTGAGGCCTCACCACAGGGACAGAACAGGACTGATGGTCGAATGAGGTCATTCCAGCCTCTCACTTAATTAGAACTTTGAGACAGTGGGGTCTGGTGCTGGCTTCCCTGCCCTGGGCCCCAGGGGTCTCATGAGCAGCAGCCAGAGGAACCCTTGGTGACGCCCCCCCCACCTGAGCCTGGCAGCCTTCTGCTCACAGCCTCAGCCCCTGCCCCTGCATGTACCATTCCCAACACACGCCTTGCTCTTGCGCACTGTTTGCCTCTCTCTGTGCCTTTTCACGTGCTGTTCCCTCTATACATCCTCTCCTTTTCTGTCCCTGTAACACCCCTGCCATCTGGTGACAATCAGAGGCAGCCACACAATTCAGCTCAGGGTCCTGCTGTTTAAGCCTCTCTCACCGCAAATTACCGGGGGACCTCTATCCCACGTTAGCTTTGCCCAAGTTTTGGGATGCAGATTTAGTTGGCACTGGCACTGGAGTCCAGTGGGGCTGGGAAAGGAGATACAGTGAATATTCTGGTTAAACAAAAGTTGGATTTTGTCTGAAAGCTCACTCAGCTGTGTGTGAGGAGGCACTGGCTGTAGCCTAGACTGTCCTTCCTACTGGGTCTGCCAGTGGCGACTCACCCTGCACCGCCCCCTGTCTGTCTCAAGCCACCCGCCTGGCTTACAGGAGCCCAGGTGCCAGGTGCTCCCGGCCCGCTGTCGCTCCCGTGGCCAGGCCGCCCTCTGGTGGCCGCTGACGGAGTAGCTAATGTGCTCTTGGGTGCCCTCTTACCCCTACTGACTGTGACTTGGGGCAAGTTATTTACCCCCCCTCCTTCAGCTGCCTCTTTGGTTAGACAGTGAAAACAGTAATATTTTAGTGTTTATTCTGTGCCAGACTCGCTTTAATGTAGTAACTGGCCAGCTCCTCACAACAGCACCCCGTGGGCACTGAGGCACTGAGAACTTCAGGTTTACCCAGGCACACACAGCGTGGGGGGCTGCCCCATGCCCCCCCAGTGCGCCTCCCCACCCCCTTCCTCCTCCGCTG